ATGGACGATACACAGGATAAAGGGAGAGGAAAAGGATAGAGAGAGAGAGAGAAGAGAGAGACGAGAGAGAGGAGAGAGAGAGAGAGAGAGAGAGAGAGAGAGAGAAGAGAGAGAGAGAGAGAGAGAGAGAGAGAGAGAGAGAGAGAGAGAGACAGAAACAGAAACAGAAACAGAAACAGAAACAGAAACAGAAACAGAAACAGAGACAGAGACAGAGACAGAGACAGAAACAGAAACAGAAACAGAGCCAGACAGACAGACAGACAGACACAGACAGAGATAGAAAGGGATAGGAGGGAGTAAAGGATAGACGCCAACGGGACGACAGGGATAACTCCTGCCGAGGGTGGGATAAAAAAAGGGAATCCATAGTCACCGGCGCCATCTGCATACGAGGATCTGCATACGAGGCCGGGCGGTCCTCTCGCCAACTCTCTTTTTCCCCTTTCTTTCTTTCCTTTCTCTCTTTTTTGTTTTGTTTTTTTATTCCTTATTTCCCCATTTCCTTCCTCGTTTTTTTCCATCCCTTTTCTTTCTTTCTTTCTTCAGTTTTTTTCCTTTTTCTTTCTTTCCTCTGTTTTTCCCCTTTCTCTTTTTTTATTATTTCTTATTTCCCCATTTCATTCATCTATTTTTCTCCCTTTTCTATCTTTCTTTCTTCTGTTTTTCCCCCTTTTCTTTCTTTCCTCGTTTTTCCCCTTTCTTTCTTTCATCTTTTTTTTTTATTACTTATTTCCCCATTTTCTTCCTCTCTTGTTCTCCATTTTCCCCCCTTTCTTTCTTTCCTTCCTCTTTTTATCCTTATTTCCCCATTTCCTTCCTCTTTTTTCATCCATATTTACCCTTTTCTTTCTTTACTCCCTAAGTCCTTCTCCCTCCTTCAGTTACCTCTTCCTTTGTCAGTACTTCCTCCTCCTTCAATTAATTCTTCCTCCTTTGCCTACTCCCTTCGTCAGTACTTTCCCTTCCTTCAGTTAATTCTCCCTCCTTCTGTTTCACATCTCCCTCCTTCATCTACCTCTCCCTTCCTCAGTACCTCTCCCTCCTTCAGCCAGTTCTCCCTCCTTCAGCTACCTCTCCCTTCCTCAGTACTTCCCCTCCCCATCTACCTCTCCCTCCGTCAGTACTCCCCCCCCCCTTCAACTACCTCTCCCTCCTTCATCTACCTCTCCCCTCAGTACTTCTCCCCTCCATCTCCCTCCCCTCCATCTACAAGTCTTCTCCCTCCTTAGCTACCTCTCCCTCCTTCAACTACTCCTCCTCCATCTACCTCTCCCTTCCTCAGTACCTCTCCCTCCTTCAACCAGTTCTCCCTCCGTCAGTACTTACCACATAGGAGTGGGTGATCTGCTCCCTGAGGAGGCGTTCCTCCGAGAGAGAGTAGCGGGCGTCGTGGGTGAGGGCGTCCACGGGGCCCTTCTCCACCTGGTGCTTGATGGCCTTGTACAGCAGGAAGAGCGAGGGGCCTGCTTGCTCCTGAAGGGGGGGGGGGGAGAGAGAGAGAGAGAGAGATTAATAATGAGAGAAATTTAGAGATTTGGTTTGGGATGTTGTGTTATTAGTGTTTATTAATGTTGTTGTTGTTTACTTGTTTTTTTCTCTTTATTGGGTGGATTGGGGGGATATTTTGTGATTATTTTCCTTCTTCATCATTTCCCTAATTCTTGTTATTTCCCTAATATTTCACTTGTATATTTGTCATAACACTTCATATTTATAGACATTCATTTTTGGGAAAAAAAACACACAGAAAAGACCGAACACACTTCCTCCCTCCCCTCCCTTACCTTCCCTTCCCCTCCCCTCCCTCCATTCCCTTCCTTCTTCCTCCCCTCCCACCTCCTCAACCCCCTCACCCCTCCCTTTCCTTCCCCTCCCCTTCCCCCCCTCCCTCCCTCACCCCCTCCTTCCTTCCCTCCCCTCCCTCCCTTCCACCTTTCCCTCTTCCACCTCCCTCCCTTCCATCCCTTCCCACCTCGCCTTCCCTCTCTTACCCACCTTGAGGTAAGTGTACATGCAGAGCGTCATCCAGTTGGTGAGCATCTTCTCGACCACGCTCTCTGTCCGGCGGAGCATCAGCTGGGGGTGCTTGGTGGCCACGCTCTTGTCGATCAGCCGCAGGAGGAGCAGCCGCAGCACCTCGGTCATGTACTCCATCCTCCCCGTCAGCGCCACCACCAGGAGGGAGGCCACGTTCACCCTGAGGTCGGCGAAGGGGGGGAAAGGGTTAGTTTTTTTTATGAATGAATGTGGAGATGTATAGGTGGGTTCTGTGAGTGCACATATATATAGGTACTATGACTGCAAACACATAGGCAGGCAGCACGAACGCATGCAAGCACGTACACTCTCACACCACACACACACACACACACACACACACACACACACACACACACACACCACACACACACACACACACACACACACACACACACACACACCCACACACACACAAAATACCCACCACACACAACACACCCCCCACCCCACCCACTCTCCCATTCCCCCCTCACTCACTTATCTCTCAAATTGAAGGTCTTCTGAGCCTCCAGAGTCTCGATGAGAGCCAGGAAGAAGTAGCGATTGGTGATCAGCTGTTCGAACTGGACCATGGCGCTGTCCATCGCGGGGCTGCAGCCGTTCATCCGGAGCTGCAGTTGCAACGGGGGAGGAAAGTGGGGAGGCTGAGTTATTTTGGGTTAAAAAGAAAAAGGTTCGGGAGATTGCTATGACGTCTGGGGTTGTTGGTGTTGGTGTTGTTGTTGTTATTGTTGTTGGTTGTTGTGTGTTGTTGTTGTTGTTGTTGTTGGTGGTGTGGTGGTGGTGGTGGTGGTGGTGGTGGTGGTGGTGGTGGTGGTGTGGGTGTTGGTGTTGGTGTTGGTGTGTGTGTGTGTGTTGTGTTGTGTGTGTGTTTGTGTGTGTGTGTGTGTGTGTGTGTGTGTGTGTGTGTGTGTTGTGTGTGTGGTGTGTGTGTGTGTTGTGTGTGTGTGTGTGTTGTGTGTGTGTGTGTCGTTTTGTATCGTTAAGCTGGTCTGGGTAACAATCAAGATATTTTGGATTAATATCTATCTCGTATTTTCAATCTTAGTAATATTAATTTCATGCTGTCATTATTTCCCCTGGAGTTATTACCTTATATATCAATGAAAATTCGTTCAACACTTTTCATTGGTCAAAATAATCGAATTACATTCCTAAATTCAAGACAACTTCAAGCAACATCCTTATAACACACCAAAAAAAAAAAAAAAAAAAAAAAAAAAAAAAAAAAAAAAAAAAAAAATTCCCACAAAACACAGACCCACCCTTACCCCCCCCTACGACCTTGACCTCTGACCCGACGTACCTTGGGGTCAGCGAGGATGGGGTGGTCGACGACGCCGGGGAAGAAGACCTTCATGACGTAGGCGCGGTGGTCCAAGGTCGGGATCCCCGAAGACTCCAGGTCGGCGGTGAGGTCGGTCATGTCGGTCTGTAGCTCGGCGAAGGCTGCGAAGGGGAGGAGAGAGAATATAGAATGATGGAAGGGTACGGGAAATACGAATGGAAGGATCTATTCGTTGTTTCTTTACGAATGGAAATGGTGTAATGGGGAGGAATACTTTAATCTATTTACATTCTTTTAATGTGTCTTTATAAGCAGATGTGGTGTAACGGTGAGGGATATACGAAGGAATTTATCTGTGATGTGTACAGGGTCCTTAAGAAATAGTTGAGTTAGGGCGTGAAAGACCCAGTCACAGAAAACGGGATCCTGGATAGTTTCTGAAGCTGCGTATCAGAGAAAACGGAATTCGAGGAGTAACTATGACATATCGATAACTCCTCCAACATTCCTATAAAAATGTACAGATAATGTAAGAAAGAAAAGTAAATTCCGACTCCGGTTAACTGTCACAATCTACCATTATCCAAAAAAGAAAACAAAAGGAGATAAGAAACACTAAACTAAAATATCCACACAGGAAAGAGTTAATTCTAAATGCACTTTCCAGACAGCTCCATTAGAATGGCAGAGATAAGTTTCCTGAGTTAGTAAGATTAAGATTTAAACAGAAAGGGGGAAGAGGAAGACTGGGAAAAGGGGCGATATAATACCCCAATAGCGACGGTAGTCTTGTGTGCATATTTGAAGAAAAGCTGAAAAAGATGTTCGAGAAGTCAAATTCTATCCAAATATTCATTCATATATCTATCTGTCTGTCTATTTATCTGTCTATCTATCTAATCTAATCTGTCTATCTATATACATATACTGTGCATATATGCATACATACATTACATACAAAATATCTATCTATCCATCTAAGTATATGTGTAAATATATATACATATACACACACCCACACAAATATACTGAATGACTTTGAACGCAATATATCATATAGAACACAGAAAATAAAACAGAAAAGAAAAGAAAAGAAAAAAGTTAACATAAACAACAACCCAACAACACCACTACCAATACACACAAACAACCCAACAACTCTTAACTACCTCTCTCGCTCTCTTTTTCTCACCTTGTTTACTCCAACGACCTCTCTCTCTTTACCTTGTTTACTCCAACAACCTCTCTTTCTCTCTTTTTCTCACCTTGTTTACTCCAACACCTCTCTTTCTCTCTTTTTCTCACTTGTTTACTCCAACACCTCTCTCTCTCTCTCTTTTTTCTCACTTGTTTACTCAACCCTCTCTTTCACCTTGTTTACTCCAACGACCTCTCTCTCGCTCTCTCTCTCCTCCTCACCTTGTTTACACTCCGACCTCTCTCTCGCTCTCTTTTTCTCACTCCAACGACCTCTCTCTCTCTCTCCTCTCCCTCTCCTCCTCACCTTGTTTACACTCCGACTTCTCTCTCGCTCTCTTTTTCTTTTTCTCTTTCTCACCTTGTTTATCCAACACCTCTCTCTCTCTCTCTCTCACCTTGTTTACTCAACGACCTCTCTCTCCCTCTCTCTCTCGCTCTCTTTTCTCACCTTGTTTCACACTCCAACGACCTCTCTCTCTCTCTCCCTCTCTCACTCTCCTCCTCACCTTGTTTACACTCCGACCTCTCTCCCTCTCTTTTTCTCACCTTGTTTACTCCAACGACCTCTCTCTCTCTCTCCCTCTCTCTCTCGATCTCACTCTCCTCCTCACCTTGTTTACACTCCGACCTCTCTCCCTCTCTTTTTCTCACCATGTTTACTCCAACCTCTCTCTCCCTCTCGCTCTCTTTTTTCACCTTGTTTACTCCAACCTCTCTCTCTCTCTCGCTCTCTTTTTCTCACCTTGTTTACTCCAACACCTCTCTCTCTCTCTCTCTCTTTCACCATTGTTTACTCCAACAACCTCTCTCTCTCTCTCTCTCGCTCTCACTCTCCTCCTCACCTTGTTTACACTCCGACCTGACGTTGGACTCCAAAGTATCCATTTGTATCTGTATCCGCTTGTACTCGCGCTCCGCCTGGTTGCTCTTCCGCCGGTACACGACGAGGATAACCATGGACACGAGGACGAGGAACAGCCCGCCGAAGGCCATGCCGCCGATCGCCTCGGGGGGGAACTGGTACTCCTGGGGAAGACGGAGAGGGGGGAGGGAGGTGAGGGGGAGGGGAGAAAGTGGGATTTTATTTAAGGTTTTATTTTATTTTTATTTTTCTCTATTTTGTTTTTTATTTTTATTTTTGGGTTTATGTGTCTATCTTTTTTATGATGCAAATGAGTTGGGTTTGTTCTTTTTTTCTTCTACTTTTATGAAAAAAGCGAGGAACAGAAAATGGAAATTTACATCTTATATAGGATTTTTTTTTTGTATTGACATCAATAAGTCGACTCTTTTTCAACAAAAAAATAATAATAATAATAAAAAAGACAAAAAATAAAAAATTTAAAATGGCTCCTTACCTTGATCATCTCATAGCGAAGATGCCCGATGGCGAACCTCAGATTCTGACCCATCCTGACCACCACCAGAGGCAAGCCCGTGTCCGTGGCGTGACCCAGCTCGTCCGTCGGGGGAGGCTGACCTTCCGGGGGCGTGCACACGAGCTGGGTCAGGGCGAGCGAGGTCACGTTGCACTGGCGAGTCCCGATGGTCACGTTGACGTCAGATTCGTCGCTGGCGAGGTTCAGGTTCACGCCCTGGGGGGGAGAAGGGGGAGAGGGGTAGAGGGGGGAAGGGGGGATGGTAGAGGTTAGGGAGGGTAAGCTTTCTTGAAATTTCTTTTGTATATTTCTATTTTCTATCTATCTATCTTATCTATTCTATCTTATCTATTCTATTTATCTATCTATATCTATTAATTTATCTTATCTATTATTTTTATTATCATTATTATTATCTATTTTTTTCTTTTAGAGAGAGAGATTGGGGCTATTTTGATGTAAAAATAAATTACGAGGAATTTGTATGAAAGAATCAGTGTGTGTGTGTGTGTGTGTGTGTGTGTGTGTGTGTGTGTGTGTGTGTGTGTGTGTGTGTGTGTGTGTGGTGTGTGTGTGTGTGTGTGTGTGTGCGTGTGTGTGTTGTGCGTGTGCGTGTGCGTGTGCGTGTGCGTGTGCGTGTGCGTGTGCGTGTGCATTTACGTGTACATTTACGTGTGAATTTCCGTGTACGTATACATGAACCTACAAGTCCACCAGGAAAAAAAACAAACCTAACCCGCCCTTCAACCCGAAGCAAGCACGACCTCGAGCCCCTCACCTCGATCACGAGCGTGTCGCCCTTGTACAGCTTGATGCCGTTCGGGAACTTCTTGTAGGTCGGGTCGAGGACGTAGAGGAGGGAGGTGCGGGCGGAGGAGTGGAGGACGTGCTTCAGGTTCCTGACGGACGCCACGTTGTCCATGATGAAGCCGACGTCGAGGAGGACGGAGTCGGCGTAGTTCTGGCGGGGGGACCTGGTGGAGGGGGGAGGGGGAGAAGAAGGAGGGAGGGAGGGGGAAGGAGGGGAGCATCGTTAGTTGATAGATCGAGGTGGAAGGATTAAATAATAACAGGCTTAAGATCTCGTTATGTCTTTTTGATTCTTGTTCTGATTTCAAGTGGATTTGAATTTAGGGTTTCAAAGTAATGCGGAGAGTTACTTTGCAAATATTCTGTAAGTAAGCTAGCAAATGATTTGTTTTCCCTTTTTTTTAATCAAAGGGCTGGTCTATTTTATTAAAATTCCCATATGAAGACTTTAAGCTTTTCAAAACCAAGTGGAGTTGCTGAGCCTGAGCCCGAGGGCCCCGGCGCGGCCACTGACCTGGACACCTTGTGCGACGCCCTCTTCTCGGCCTTGGCGCCGTCCGCGGCGTCGGCGTCCCTCCGCTCGCGCATGAGGGCCATGAGGACCTGGCGGTTCACGTGCGGCGACGGGCACTCCATCTGGCCGGGGCTGAGGACGCGGCACGCCGACGAGTTGAGGATGCGGTCGTGCAGGAGGACGGTGATGCGCGGCGCCTGGATGGCGTCCAGGTTGCGGCCGTGCACCGTCATGAGGCGGCCGCCGCTCCAGGGGCTGCGCAGGGGCTTGAGCTCGAACACGCGCGGGTCCGGCGTGTACGTGAAGGGCTCGGCCAGCACGCGGACGGCGCTGTCCACCTGCACGACGAGGCGCCGCGCCGTCCGGGGCAGCCCCGCGCCCTCCTTGCCGCCCTCGCTCGACGACGGCGACATGCGCGACGTCACGCACACCAGGCGGTGCGACGACGACTGCGTCTTGTTGACGACGCACGGCAGGTCGTCCAGCGTGGCGGACACGTTCGAGCCCACGTTGAGGAACCTGCCGCTGACGGAGAGCACGGTGCCGCCCGACACGGGGCCCTTGGTCGGCCACACGCCCGTCACGCTCACGTTCTGCGGGAGAGGGGCGTCGTCAGCAGGGGAACAGGAGGAAAGGAAAATAAGTAAAGGAATCTCAAGACAAACCCCTTCGGAGGCAGGAGAGGCCCGGAGGCGGAATCTGTACTCACGGTGTAAGTGAACTTGACGGTGGACTTGGTGGTGCCCGCCGGCGTCGTGACGCTCACGGGGAACTGCAGGTCCTGCGAGGAGCCGCCGCTCCCCCCCTGGGTCGGCGCCGGCCCCGTCACGCACGTGATCTTGACGGACACGTGGTACTCGTGCACGCGGCACGGCACGTCGCCGATGAACACGTTGTCGCGCACGTCCTC